GGGCCCTTCCAGGTGCTACAAGTTGATAACTTTGTTCTTTTGAGTTCTCCAGGATTGTGGATGACACAATCCTAGGAATGTGACGACCCCTCAGGCAGAGAGCCCATGCTGATAGCCATCATCAATGACAACTGAAAGATTAGGGTCTGGGGCATTGCTCCACTCTCTGATGCATATCCAGTAAAACAAAGGACTATCAGGAACTGGGACCAGATGTCTGCCCCACCCAGAGACCCGCCACCTCCCCCACCTGGAGACCAGCCCCATATATAACTGGGCTGTAGTCTTTGTTCTGGGAGATGGTTCTTTTGGACATGAGTCGGCCATCTTCCCTCTTGCTAGCAAGCTGTGATAAAGTCCTTTCTCTCTTGCCACTTGCCTCCTGGCTACTGGCATGTCCTGCGGAGAGCAGAGGATCTCCTCCTGGGGCAGTAACAATACCATGTAAGTGCTATGTAAGTAGCTGTTACACTGTACTGATTAGGGAATAATGACAAGAAGAAAACGGATGTATATACTTAGGACAGACACAACCGTTGTAGGCCTGTGGATCTGTGGTTGGTTGAATCTGCAGATGTGGAACGTGCAAATGCGAGGGCTGACTGTAGTCCCATTTCTCTGAACGCCAGGTTCCCAGTAGCTTATAAAGAAGCCTTGTTCTTGCTTGTCGTTAACAACGTCTCCCTTTACCCCACATCTCCTCCAGCTGCCTTGTGCCCATCTCTCTATTCCTCTTCCCTGTAGAACTTTCCCATGTTCTCGCTTCACATCCTCTCTTTAACACTCTAGTTTAAAGCAGTTTTCAACCCCATGGCTCAGCGAAACCGGCGCTTATCCAAAGCACCCACCATTTTTATTTGGCGAAAGTCCGTGGTCTCTCCTGGGCTCTCTTTCTTACCTCCGAAGTGGCATTTGACACACTTGACCAGCCTCCCTTTCTTTAATATCTAATGAAGACCCCAGACTTAATGGAGCTAAATCACAGCTCTAGCTTTGTTCCCCCGGTCCTGCTTATACTTCTCGGTTTATTGTACATCCACAAATCCCTAGGAGTGTTTTCAACTCCTCTCTTCTCCTCACAGGCACATCCCATCCAACAGCAAATCCTGGCAACTTTTGCACCAAAATGAATTCTGACCCTCACATCTCCTCACTGCTTCTGCTGCCAGCCCGGATCCCGAATGACCCTCATCTCTGCCCGGAGCCCCTGCAGCACTGCACCGCCTCCACTGTGCTCACCTTCGACGACTCGCCTCCACCACAGCCGGAATCACCTTTTAAAATATAGATAGAAGCTTACCATCTCCCAGTTTACAACCCTCGGTGGCTGCCCACTCTAGAAGAAAAGCACTCCCCACGGCCACAGGACCCCACATCATCAGCTCTGGCCAGACCTTCCCTCTGAATCCCCTCTGGCCTGCCTTGAGGTTTCATCCCCCTCACCCGCTTTACTCTGCTGGGCATGTCACTGCCCTGGCATTCCTGGCTCCTTCTCACCTTCCTACCCGGGGCGCAGTGTCACTTCCTCTGTCTGCTTCTCTGAACACTCTGTCAAAAGTAGGCCTTTCTACCATCCCTTTACCCTTTTTCATAATCTTCACAGCACCTCTCTCTACCTTAAATCATCTCACTGATTTATGTCTGTGTTGTGTCTCTACCAAGCAGAATCTAAGCTCAACGAAGTCTCTTTGCTTAGCCATCTCTTAGAGATCTCAGGGATCTCTTCTTGTTTAGTCACCACTAGGGTTGTGGGTGCCAAGGGCTCCTTATATACTTATTTAACAAATCAATCAATGAATAAATTCCTCAGCCTGACTGGCAACATGCCCAACTCACGTGCCATGTATGGCTGCTGTGAGCTGCCCCTTCCCCAGCATGTCTCTGGGCTTATGGCCAAATACAGTCACTTTGGGGGTTAGGCATTCAGCATGAGAATTTGTGGGGGGACACAACTCAGTCCATAACAGGAAAGAAGACTTGTTTAGGTTAAGAAGCAGCAATGATGACTTCCAAAATTACACGATTTGTCTAATTGTTCTTCATGGCTATTACAAATGTCTTATTTATTTTACATATTAAGCACATTATGATCATTACAGAGGGCAGGAAAACTTTCTATTACTTGAAGAATCTAGAGATTGATCTCAGGACACAGAATCCCTCAACTTCCAAATTACACTCACCAATCTCTTTGTGCCAATTTGTGCATTATTTAGATGAGTGTGTTGGTCTACTCTACCAGTTTTAGGCAACAGAACCATCACCGCTGCTTCTCAATCCTTCTTGAAAGAATTGGGAAGGACCTGAGAATACCATGGGCCTTAGAGAAGTGCCAGCCTGAAGTTCAAGGGTTTGGAGAGCTTGAGCTTGCATGGACCCAGGCAGGATGGACGCCAAGGGTCTGGAGCCCGTGCCTGCATGCGGTCTTTTGCTGGGATGTGCGTACCTCTTTACCTCCCTATTCTCTGTGGCTCAGTCCACGTGGGCTTCTGACCTCACGAGGACACTGAAGCCCCTCCCGCCAAGTCACCAGGTACCTCTACTTAGCACATTCCATTCCACGGTCAAGCCTCAGAACTCAGTACTTGATTTCTCAGTGAGAACACCGCTGACCATACCTTTCTTGAAGCACCATTTTCCTTAGAAAATGCATTCTTATTTCCTTCCAAGATAAGTGCCTCCTTCTTGTTACTCCTTCTCCTGGATCTTCCTCTTTTCCTCAATCTCTCCATGTTCATGATCTCATTCGGGACTCTTGCTTTAAAGATCAAATCTATAACTCCAGCCCTGACCAGTAACTCCAGATTCTTATGTTCAGCTCGACACTTCTACTTAGAAATCTAACAAACAGGGGCCAGCCCGGTGGCGCAGTGGTTAAGTTCACACCCTTGGCTTCGGCCGTCCGGGGTTTGCCAGTTCAGATCCTGGGTGCGAACCCCCGTGCTGCTTATCAAGCCATGCTGTGGCAGGCATCCCACATATAAAGTAGAGGAAGACGGGCATGGATGTTAGCTCAGGGCCAATCTTCCTCAACAAACAAAAGAGGAGGGTTAACGGCAGATGTTAGCTCAGGGCTAATCTTCCTCAAAAAAAAAAAAAAAATCTAATGAACATCTTAAATTTAACACTTCCAAAATAGAATTCCTGATATTTTCCCCCAAATCTGCTCCTCTTCCAGTCTTCTCCATTGCAGTAAATGGCACTGAATTCACTTAGTTGCTTAATTCACTAATAATAATGATAATAACGCTTACCAACACATACATTTTTATTGGAGGCCAAATGCTGTTCTAAACAGGAAACCTGCTTATCTTTAAAGTTTCACATTTTCTGCGTTGGGCTTCCTTTTGGCCTTAGTTTCTTAGGAAAGTTCCTTTTGTGCATTGAAGGAGCTCACTCAAAGGACGTGTTCACCAGCTCTCCACCCAGCCCAGACTCCCACCCACTCTTGGGTTAGACTATGGATGTTGTAAGCCTGCCTTGTTGACTCCTGAATAACTCCCTCCTCCCAGGCAAATGCCATGTCCCTTTAGTGTGGTAAGAATGAGCTAGTGACAATAATTACCCTGGCTATTTCACAACTAGGGTACAGAGAATTCATGCAGAAGACAATGCCTCTCAAAATTATAAGAGGATAAACTATGAAAAAGCACAACCACAAGAAAATGCATTGGCCCAAAATCGAGAGCCATGAGGTAACAATAGTACAAGCTGTGCTTTACTATACTGCGAACCACTGTTTTATGTCACCTGCTAGCCATGAGAAACATACTCTGAGGCCACATTCATGAGCCAGTGCAGGCATCGAATGATTACCGGCAACATGCACCCTTTGCCTGGCAATTTGGTGGCCATCTCTCATTGAAGGGCTCGAGGTGTGTGGCTCGGTTTCACAAGCAATCATGGGGAGGGGTAAACACGCTTGACTGATGAATGATAGCAGCTCTTAAAACACCACAGACGTTTCCAGCGCCCAGAAGTGTTTATTTTTTATACTAAATTAAATTCATTTTCTTTCTCATTCCCTCTAAGGAAAAAGGTGGTAAATTTAAATTCAGAGTGGACTGCTCTATTGAAGATGGGCATGTGCCACAACCTGTAAATAGGCTATGGCTTGGGTCTGTACTTTAGCAGGAGGATAGTGGGAGGGAGGAGATTTAAGGGCAAGGAAGGAAAAAGGGAAACCTTCAATGAGCACTGTACCAGTGTGCAAGGAGCACTTAGCTAATTGCCTTGCTCACAGAAGGAACTTGATAAATATTTTGTATTTACCACATATAGTAATAATCAAACAGTAATAATTTATCACATTGTAGTACATGATAAATGTTTATGATGGAAAAAGAGAAGGAAACAATACTTAAGGAGCATCTGCTTTGTGCCAGCACCACAATGCTGGGAAACAGAAAATATTCTCTCCATCAGGCACGTTAGAAAACTGAAGCTTAGAGAGGTCCATCCGCCCCAGGCACACAGGGCAGACCAGGATTTAAGCACGAGTCCCTTGGATTCCAAAGCCCATTTTCCATCCGTTTATGTTTGTCCACATTGCCTCCAATGATGAGAGCGACAATAGACACTTATTTATACAGTGCCTATTTATTTTGTTTATATAAACCATTCTGGCCATTTTTATGCTAATAAATTTATTACCTCTCAAAAATCTATTTTAGACTAGGCACTCACGGAATCCTAACTGTCGGGGTTTTTTTCATGTTACCATGACCCTGGTAATTCCCACCAGCTGCATACTGGCCAGCAGAGAGATGTTTTCAGAAGAGCACGTCTTTCCAATGGATAGTTTGCCCTGGTTTCTAAGGACCACAGCTCAATGATTCAGAAATGTACAGAGACTCTAGTAGGAGCTGAGGCAGGATGAGAAATTCAGATTGTTATCATTTTAAGATTGATATCAAATTAAGATTGATATCATCTTAAGACACTGAGCTGAAACAAAGCCACGTTTTGTAAATCAATTTCAAAGGACAATTAGACATTGCTTTTTTCCAATTTTTAAAAATTTAGTCACAAATGGATTTGTAAAGGCACACACGGTTACACATAAAATAAGAAGAAATGTGACAGCTGTGAATTATGATCTTTAAGAAAAGAAGACATTTGACTTGCTTTTCAGCAAAGGTCATTATAAATGTTGGGCAAATCTTGACAATGATTCTGATTTTTTTTCTACATTTTAAAAACAAGCATGTAGGTTCTTCACTTCACAAAGTGTGTATATTTTCTACATACAAGCAAGAATAGGGAAGGCCAACAATATTTATTTATTCATTCTTCATTAAGTATTTGTTGCATGTTCATTGTGTCAAGAACTGTGCTAGGTCTCAGCGTAATGGCTCAGTAGAACACTACCCCTGCCTTTCAGTAGCTCAGTGTTTAGGGGAGAGGACACAGAAATGAAAGCAGAGGAATCAAACTAATACAAGATTAGTACCAAAATATCGGCAAAATGCTATGAGGTCAGATTTCAGAAACTCCTCTCCCATTTAAACAAAAAACCCCCACAAAACTCTTGTCCTAATCTACTAAGTATTAATTCTTTGAGCTAAAGACTTGATCTGGAAGAGGTAACACACTTTCTGGAACACTCTGGGCCTTCCTACTGTAGTGTTTCTGATCACAATGAACCTCTAGGGCAAATGGCCGTATCCTGCTCTCTCTGGATATTGAATTCCTATTCATTCTTCGAAGTCCAGCAGAAAAGCTGCCTCCTCCAAGAAGACATTTTTGATCCCCTAAACTTAATACGCTCTGTGCCTGCTACCACTGTCTTACAAACAAACCACTCTCTACCCGATGCTATGGTGATTTTTTTCTGGTTTTTGCCTTCAGGAACACATGGCTCAGGTTGAGGCATCTGAAGTCACCGAAGAGAGAGAGGTCCTCTTCCTCCCTTCCTCTGGAGAATCTCTTCCTCTCATGGAGCTAAGCTGATGCTGCTGAAATTCAGTCAAAAAAATGCACTTCAAAGTGTACATGGGCCAGCCACCACTGGGCAGCAGGATCCACGGCTTTCTGGGTGTGTCCTTCTCTGCCAGGCCTGGCTCCATACGGACAAGACTGTCTGTGGAACCTGGAGTAGAGCATCTGGGCATCGGCTCCCCATGAATCCACTTGGTGATCTTAGTAAAAAAATTAGAATCATGATTATATAATGCCCTGGATCAAGGTTAAATTGTACAAAATGGAATGAGTGACCACTGGCCAAGCCATCTCTGCTTTGGCAGCAGTGTAATGTATCAGTGGCTGAGGCTGTGTTCTGAGACAATAACAAACAGCTCTGAAATCCCAGGGCACACCGCAGCAGAGGCTTCTCTCTCACTCCCGTTACGTCCATCTTGGCTGTGGTTCTGCTCCATCCATGCTTCCTCCCAGGACCTAGGCTGAAGAAACAACTTTTATTTGGAAAAATGCAGACATCCTAAAAGAGAAGAAAGAAGGTAGACAGACCGTGTGATAGCTTTTCAAGCTTCCTCTTGGACATGGCACAGGTCACTTCTGCTCCTGTTCCATTGTTAAAACAAGCCCATGGTCAAGACTGATGTCAATGGGATAACGGTGTATAATTCCCACAGAAGGAGAAGCCTGTAGGAGGGGCGGTGAATATTTTAAACAATAATTTCATCTACCACAACATATGAGAAAGATTTGGATATTGAAGCAATCCAGAAAGAGCACTAGACCAGTAGGTTCTTATTGAGTTTTAGAACATGAAATATGATCATGTCAGTTGTCTGGTTCCAGGCCTTAACTTTTTCACTATAAAATCAGAGGTTTGCTCGACATGGTTATCAAGTCCCTTCCAATTCTGCCACTGAGCCCAAAGCCTTGCATTATGATTATTTGTTCTGCTATCTTATCCAAAGGACAAGTGCCAGTATCATTTCTATATTTCTCAGAGACCTCACCAAGCGTAGTGCTTAAAACATTGGTTGAATAAATAAGTTAAACCCCATGAATAACTACACTTTAGCGCAAATTCATTAAATAACATCCTGGAAGCAGGTTCAATAGATGGAAGGTGGAAAGCAGTGAGAACCTGAGGCATAGAGTGAAGGGACAGAAGGAAAGAGAAGACACGGAGAGCACAGCAGGCGGGCCGAGGAGAAGCACGCGCTGGGGAGCCATGGGCCTCTAGCTCCTGGGCTGCTCCTCTGAGGGCAGCTGGGCGACTGCAAGCCTATGTTAGGACCAGATACAGGTCTGGATTTCCCAATGGCTGAAAATTGCTAAACTTACTAAATCCAAAGGCATATATATTTTGAAACTATTGCAAATGGCAAGAGGTTCTGTTGGCTTTTTTCCTGTTCCTTATTTTGTATAGGAAAACTAGGCAAAGAGCACACTCCCAAACGGTTAGAATTCAATGATAGGAAATGCACTAGTATTGTATAAAAGTGAAATTCCTGATTTTACTGTGAAAAGGAAATGACAGTCTTTCGAACCTAACAAAATCGTAGATTGCCAAGAAAATGCTCTCAACCAGAAGGAATCAGCCAAGAAGAAAAATACATTCAGTGCTTTTGTTCCCATTTACTGTGTTTTTGTGAGGTGATGAATAATCATTTTTTAAAAACCATCCTATATACACCACAACTACACAGCATTGCTATTAAATAATTCCAAAGTGTAATGTGGTTTCCTACTTCCTCTTCAGCTGGAGGATGCGTCTCTGTCTTCTGCTCCCCCGCTCTCGTCCTGCGCTCCACGTGCAGCCCGGCGGGGTCCCCTGCCAGCGCTCCTCCTCGGTTTAACAACTGGAGTCCATGGGAGCTCCCCAGTGATTTCACTCCTTGGTTGTAAGAATAAATCGAACGTTCAGATTTACTTTTTATCAATGCAGTGTGAAGGCTGTCAAAGAATGTAATGTAATTTGAAATTTAAAACAATTAGAACCATGACACAGATAAAATCCATCCAAAATCACAGGGGCTGTTTTCTAAGCACAACCAACATCATGCCGCTGAAAAATGGATTTTTTTCCTTAACTAGCTTCAACAGGATGAGCAGTAAAACTCCGAATGCTGCAGTGAGGGTCTGAGAAGTGGAAGAGAAAGCGGGCGAAGGAAGGACAAGGCAGAGGTCAGGGTATATATAACCCCTGAAGAAGCCACTGTCCCCTCTTCCCTTTCTTGCTTTCAGGTATTACCTCCAGACTTGAGAGGGTACCGTTTCAGAAAAATATATTCAAGGAGAGGCGCTTCTAAACCATCACTTTGTACCTCCTCCCTCGGAACTCTGTGTTCTTACCTCTCTTGCTGACTTGGGAGAGGAGGACTGGCTTTCCCTTTGGGGAGGGAGGACGCCAAGCCCCTTCTTCGCCTCCACACCAGTGGCTTCCCCGCTGGCTGATACCACTAACAAGCAGTGCCACCAAGTGGGAACAATCGATCCTTAGGCCTGACGCTTTAAATCAAAAGCAATTTATCATTTTCCCCAACTGTCCAGAATATTGCTGGCTCCAGTGGCTAAAACTGTGTCCGTGGGGGACAACGAGAATGTTTAGTGAGCTTATGATGTAGAATATGTAACGCCACTAGTGCTTTCCAGCGTTACTTCGCCATTAAACATGCAGCTCTTGAAGCCGAGCAGCGCGCGTGGCGAGGATGCAAGACTCCCCCGTCTGCTTCAGGAAGTCGGCGCCAGCCTGTGAGCGCGCATTTTCCTTGGAGATGGGCCATCTTCACACGGTGCCGGCGTCCCCTTCCAGCCTTCCTGTCACTGCTTCGGGTCCCGACCCGGCCTGGGGCGCCGCGCACGGATCTCTTGCCATTTCCTGCGTTCTGCGCGAGCACTAATTGAAAATTTGGGTGGCCTTGCTTATTTATTTTCCTGGAATGTAGTGGGTTATATTTTCATGGCATTTTCTCAGCAATGCCGTGTTTCAATTTCAAACTACGACAATGAGAAGAAAAGCCAGTCCCATCAGCTCGCAGACACACAACAAAAGACCGTCCCCTCGTTTGAATTGCAGTATGGCCTTTACAAATTGTAACTAAATGGAAGCGATCAGAAATGCCTGTTTTTTCATGAAACTAAAAAGACAAGTTTACTTTCTCCTTAAAAAGGAGAAAACACGGTGATGTGCTCAGTTACTATGAGAAATAAAATATAAATAGGAGGGAACATTATTTGGTAAAATTCAACGACTGCCCATGTCTAAATCTTCATAAAATGACTGGCTCGAATTTTCTGTCAGATTAATATATTAAAAAAATAGCTTGCTTCTCTATGCTGTAGCACTGCAATTTCCTACCAGTTGCAGCCTGCTTGTGGTGCATGAGCATTTTTCTCTAGGAATATGAGGCTAACGGCGAAATTTTTAATTTTATCAAGATGTTACACCATGTTGTTCTAATAATCCACCACTGCTGTAAATTCTGCCTAACATTCAAAGAGGACTCTATTTCAATGAATTTGTGTAAAAACACAGTTTTGGCAAAAATTAAATTTATTTACATGGCTTATGGAATTTATACCTTAAAACTGACTTTTGATTTCATCCCGGATGTGTGTATCTTTCATTTCTGAACTAAGAGCACAGACAGCGAATTTTTAACATCTAATGCATTCTTCATAAAATATATTAAAAGAAAGATTTAGAACAGTTGAAAATATATGCAAATGTTAAATAGAGTTAGTCACCAAAGACAATTAGTTAAATTCAACTCCCTGAGTGCCAGTTGAGGGGCAAATACATTTCCAGTTTTGTATCTTTAAAATAGGAGTGCGCCTGGGTCATTTCCTCTATCGTGAGAGCTACCTTCCTTTGGTTTATCTGCATTTCTGCCACTGGTGTAATCGATGGGCACACTAATTGCACATCAATTCACCTCAAAATGGGAAAATGATAAGACCTTTCTGTGGAGCCAAGGTTGCCATGGCTGTGAGCTAAAAGCAAAATCTTGAAAAATATTCGTCCTATTCAGGTTTAGGCAACTGATTTGGGAAATAGAAAAATTTCGTCTGTTCATTTTAATCAAATAATTAATGGTATTAAATTGATATTCTGAGTTACTTTTTATAAACTGGAGATAGCAGTAAATTATCAAAAAATAACAATAACACAAATCATATCTTCACATAAAAAATAAGTATATAAAGGTGTCTGACTTCTCAGGTGAACAAACTGATTAATGCCTTACTGTAATTCATAAATAGGATTTCTTTTCCATACACATTTTGTCTTAAAATTGAAAGTGTTAAAGAGGGAAAAAAATCTGCTTGGACTATGCAAATATTCCCTAGCTGAAGTACTTATTTTGAATATCAGGATGTGAGTTGAATAACATAATTATGGTTTTTTACATAACTGATTATGTATTTGAAACTTATTATGTAAGAGGTGCTGTGAATATAGTAATGGTAACATGTCATGTTTATAGAGCTCTTCATAAACTGTAAAAGTATTTTTCAACATGTATAATTGAGGTTCATAATAATTCTCTGAGGCTCACTTGTTTAAAAAGCACATTAAACTCAATAAGAAGAGATACTAAAGGAAAATAAGTCTGTTTATTAAAAATAGAGACATACGAATGGAATCAAGTTTGAAAAATAGAAAAGATATTGCAGTTTCAATGAACAAGATGACGTTGGATGGCTGTGCTGAGTATGTGAACCAGCGCGGGACAGGATTATTGTAGCTCTTCTGAACAATTCAGAAAACAAGCTGGCAGACATTCGTTAACTTGGTAAGTTCCACTATATTTTATTTAGTGGTTGTTTTCATTTGACTTTTTTAAATGAAATATTAAAAGGAAATCACACTATTTGCATCCATATGATTTCTTTCCTAGTAGCGAGCCTCTTATTGTGTCTGCCTTGTTACGTTAAATTATACCTTAAGAAAATAAATGCCATCTGGGACATAGTCCATTTGGAGGCTTGCCTTTCATAGTTAAGTCTGAACAGATACGGGGAAAGACATGTTTTACTATTTGTACAAAGCCTCAAAAAATAAAAATTACACATTTGTAATATTTCCCATTATCATTTCCACTTTGCTGGAGTTAACAATGAATTTTACCATGGCTGATAATTTCTCCCCTAGATGTCAGATAGCAAAATTAAAATACTTTTTAAAAGAATGTGCTTCACAGAATAAACAAGAACAGAACTTCTTCTGACTTACCCTTTCCTGTGCAGAGCAGAGAGCTGCCATTTCCTTCCAGCAGAGACGTGTAACTCCAGAGCACAGTTTACAACTCGTGCATAGACATAATTCACAGCTGAAGCTAAGCATTACCCAAAAGAAATTAATTCCTAAAATTTCAAAACTATTCCTAATGAAAATGCAAAGCCTGGGCTGGGAGATTTATATAACAGAGAACCGGCCATTATCTGCAGAGTAAGCTGAAGAGGGACAAGGTTGCCAAATGGGTATGCAAAAAAACAAAAAAAACTGAAAGCGTAAGTATAAACTATCTTCTCATCTTTGCTTTCTTTAGAAACTTAATGACTTCGACAGAAAATTCGGGTATATGTACCATGTTGGATAATAGAATGATTGGATCTGTGTATCGGTTTTCTACAGCTGACATTCGACTGTAAACAACTGACAGCTCACCTGATTTGGATTAGTTTATCCAAAGCACAAGGCAAAATAAACAAAGTTCCTGATTTCTTTTTCTTGAGAAAATAAGCTGGTTCTTCTGAACATTTTCTTGTCATAAAGGCAAAAAGATGTGATATAACTAAGAGAACAGGTATCTATCAGACATCCAAGCCTAAGGATATGCCAGTGTAGACTGTCTACTCACTTCAAGACTGGGAGAGAAGAAACCTTGTGGTTAGGAAGCCCGAACTCTCCCAAACACATCTCTCCAGTTATACAGGCCATGAATGATCTGAGGGGCTGTCGAAAGCAAAGTACCAGTTTACAATCTTCCTATGATGAGTAGGTCAGCCACAAAAAAGAAACGTGTTAATCAGAGAGTTTTTTAAAAATTAGGATGGTGCTGTCAGCATTCTTTTTACATAGAATTCTGCTGAAGACATCAATTTGCAGAAAAGATGAAAGAGCTGTGGGGAGAACAAATATTTAAACTGTGATTGATGAGAAAGGATGATGCAAGGTGGATTAAAGTTGGGCCAAGACAAAATAGAATCTAAACATTCAAAAGGCCTCAAGCCCCCACAGCCACTCCCCCCAGTTCCTTACACCCACCATCAGAACGTGACTTCCAGTCTGACCGCCTCCACTCACCCTAGTGGAACTCTTCTCAGTAGTTGCTGTCTCCAAATTTGGTTTAAGTTTTCAGTCTTTTCTTAAGACAGTGTGTGAGTGTAACAGGCAGTGCTGGGCAGTGACCCAGGGTGTTGACTGCTGGCCTGCCCACAACAAGCCTTTGGACTACCTGCCAGGCTAGGCCCAAAGACGAGGTGGGAAACTCCTTGAGTAGGGGACATTCTTCCGCAGGCTGGGGAGACCTGTCTTAATCTGCCACTTCCTTTAGCTTAAACAAGCATGAAAGATAAAATGACAAGTCACTGAAATTACTTGTTACTGTTTAAAAAAAAGAATTTCTAATTTTCTCAGAAGTGTTTATTGTGTTCAAAAATTAGAAGAGAAGGAAGGAAGAAGAGAGGGGGGAGAAGAAGGGAGGAAAGAAGAAATCCTAGTCAGTCTCTTGACTCAACCGTCTCCTCTGTCCACTTCCATGTAAGTTTTTTCTTTTTAATTTTGATTAGTTAGATCATAGTTCTCACTTGCTTCCTGCCAGCCATTTTTGATTTTCTAACAACTTTTTCTCTTCAGTATGAAAGTGTGATTTTCAGGAAACAAAAAGCCACAGTATATAATCAATCCCTATGACTCTAAAATGAATTATTTCTGCAAAAGTAATAAGTTAACATCTGTCACTACCATCACTTGCAGACCGAAATGCTTGCTTCAATCTTCTGAAATGTTCTGGTGGCTATCATCTACTGACCACCCCTGGAGCATGGACACTCCCCGGACTGCTCGTTAGGATCTCTGTGTGCATTTTGTTTACAATGGCCTGAAAAGAACTTGGGGTATGTTGGTAACCAAAACTAGATGGAGATTTTAAGACCTCAGACTCCTATAGATTTTATACTTTAAAGAAGGTTTTTGTCTCTTAAGTATTTCTCAGCAGTTGAAGACTGTTAATTATAAATATTATTGGCAATATTAATTTTATTAATAATTAATACAGATATGATGAAATAATGTTAGTACATGTTCATATTTCAGAGTTGCTACATTTTTTAACATTTAGTTATTTCATATTTAAATAAGCTGCTTGCTTAGCCTTCTTGGAAGAGTAGTTCATTAAAATGCTTCTACAATGAGAAATATTCTAATTTCCACTTTAAGAAATGTAAGCGTTCTCAAGTTTATAAAAGTTAATTTGTTGTTTCTATTAGTCTAGATGCTAAGACAATAAGGAATCTCATTGGATAAAGCAGAAAGCTTTGAATCCATTACAGAAGTACCTGCACTCTATAATTATATTTTATAAGGAAGGTCAGTATTCTAAATTAGATTCATTAACTGTCATAAAATATATAACATTTCTGGTAATTTAAAACTGTTTAACATGTAGTTATTAGAGCCCCCTAATCAGGATGGGCATACATTTTTTAAACCATTTTAAGTTTTAAAATCATTTGAATGATTTGTTATTGTCATTTTTCAAAAATAGTAGTAATAAGGTGTATTTAATTGCATACTTATTCTCATATGAAGCTTACAAATGCCTTTATTTCCAATAGAGATCACAATAATGTGAATGTGTGCATAGAATGTGAATTACAGTATTTATATATATTTCTTCCATATATATAAGTTCACATTAAAAAATGCAAAGATTATTAGTGTATGGGTCACTTACATTTTCAAGTAGCAAGTTTATTCACGCTTGCATTGTAAAAAGATTAGTTGTGTCAATATCCGTGTGCCTGGGACTATTTCCGCCCTCAAACACTGCTTACCTAATTGTGCTGGCTCATGAGCCCAACCAATAGAGCAGCACTCTGTATTTTCTTCCACTGAAAATCTGCTGAATTAACATGTTAGAGTATGCTTGAAAAACAAGAAGGAAAGACCGATTCTTCAGAGTTTTAGCTGCCATTTTCTTATTTGTTAAAGATGTTCCCCCAACAGATTCTCTGAGGCAGTCAATTTGTATTAGCCCTAATTGTAAATATTTATCAAAGAAGACCTAGGCACAAAAAATAAAAAGAAGATAAAACACGATTTTTCACTTAATCTCATCACCTCCCACCATCCAAAATACGTTTTTCTTATTTTGCTTTTGGAAAATATTGCAAAAATAATAATAATTATAATGTCTTTACCTTAATGACAGATTAGCTTAATTTATAGGAGCCAAGAGAGGACATATAGAAAAAAAGAGCAATGCCTGGAGTATAAGAGGAACTGTGTCAATAGTTGCTGATTTGAAGAAATGAGCTTGCATTGCTGCAAATACCTTACAGAGGCTCTCTCTGAATTAGCGGCTAGACAATTAGTTTTGTTCAGAAAATAAATCTTTCTTGAAAGTGTTTCCTAGAAGTACACTGCCTCTAGGATCAGTTAAACACAGATTTCTTAGACATTTAAAAGATCATTAACAGCTCTACTGAGGTATAATTGATACATGAAAACTGCACATATCTAATGGATACAGTTTGTTGAGTTTAGAATTTAGCCATCTTTAAAGGAAAGAATTACTAGGTTGTAAACGAAGAAAAGAAGATGAAAATTCTGCAAATATAGAAGATCAACTAAAAATGCAAAAAGCTCCCCACTCTGTTTGATGTGAGAAGCTGACGAGTCACATGCAGGAAGAACAGTCTAAATTCTTTGAGAATTAATTTATCTTTTATGACTCTTAAAGCATGCCAAACATATGAGGGGGGAAGGACGAGGGCTGGAACAGCCATGCATTTCAGTCCCCTTTTCTTTTGGGTGATATTATACTTTACATTATTGTTTCTGCCTTGAGATTATATTTACCAGAAAAATCGCTGCCAAATTTAGAGTCAGTAGTGCCAGCAAATTTATGCAAAGCATTAGAAAACTAGATGGCGTTTAATATTTTTTTTCCTTGATATTAGTCAACCTTGTGCCTTGTCACACCATGGCTGGTCATTTTTCCACTAGACAGTGGAAAAAGATCAGTGACCCTTCAGAGCAAGCCAGAATTATAACCAAGGAAAACACGGTCTATAAATTCTGCTTCAAATCTGATTTTCCTAGGGACCAGTCCAGTTCGCATGCTCCACTTCAGCAGCCTGGGGTTCGCGGGCTTGGATCCCAGGTGCAGACCTACACACCACTCATCAAGCCGTGCTGGGGCGGTGTTCCACATACAAAACAGAGGAAGACTGGCACAGATGTTAGCTCAGGAACAATCTTCCGCACACACACACAAAAAAAACAAGCAAAAAAACCTCCTGATTTTCCTAAAGAATAAAAATTTCCTTCTAAATGTGTTCTAACAAATACCTGCTTACAAATAGGAGGCCACTTAGCAGCAAAAACAATTCTATGTAAACATATCCAAACAAAAGACGAAGTCAAAGGACTAACAGCGATCACTGAGATTTTCTTTCACAATTTGAAATCAACAGAGCATGTAAATTTCTAGGATAAAATTATAAGTAAAAAATTAGATAGTCTCCGTTTGTTCTCAACTAAAACTTTGTTAGGAATCCTCACAAGTATACAGTCCTGAAAAGCTATTGTTTATTAGAAAGAAAGCATATGCATGTACTAAAGTCTATCATTCACGTCTGTGCATCCATTTGAACTTCTAATCCATGTTAGTGGGATGAATATGCATCATGTTAATATATGTAAAAACATTACAGTAATGCACACCAGCACAGACCCACACATCCAAGATCTAAGAAAATGTGGCCAAGCTTAGAAGGAGTTACTTTATGGGAAAGTGGGAATTCGATAAAAACACAAAGTTGAAAATGCAAACCACGTATTTAACATTATATTGTTTTCCTCTTTATTACTTTACTCCACAGCTAACCCACTATGGTTTGGCCTTCTACTACAGTACCCTAGCCAGGGACAAAGAAGCAAAGTAACTGGTTCACAGGGCAGGGGGCCGAGGAGGTGTGGAGTAGTTCAGGACAGAGGAGCCAAGAGTTATGCAAACAAAATGACCAACAGTCTGCTTCAAGGTCAGAGAAAGCAACCGCCAAGTTCTGTTTTAAATGGACTGCCTTATGGGCAACAAATTCAAAGAACAAAGTATCGAGGAGAAAAAAAAAATCCCTTTAAATGCATAGCAAGAACAATTAGTGTGATCCACTACCCATGGCACATAGTTATTCAGAAAAACTCTTAACACTCCCCTATAGGTGCTGTCCTACACAGACGGCCAGATCAAGTCGCCAGAGAGCAGGCCCTGCAGGTCAGCCAAAACTCACTGCAGAATAGTTGTTTGTTGAAAAGTGAGGGGGCCGGCCCCGTGGCCATGTGGTTAAGTTCAAGCGCTCTGCTTCGGAGGTCCAGGGTTTGGATCCTGGGCATGGACATGGCACCGCTCATTAGGCCATGCTGAGGTGGCGTCCCACATGCCACAACTAGAAGGACCCACAATTAAAATATACAACTATGTACTGGGGGGATTTGGGGAGAAAAAAAGCAGAAAAAAACAAAAGAAGATTGGCAACAGTTGTTAGCTCAGGTGCCAATCTTAAAAAAAAAAGAAAACAAAAAGAAAAGTGTGGTCATGGGAATTTAGAGCTTAAAGGGCTTCAAGGTTTCTCCCACTTGACCATCTTATTTTATAAATGAGATAACTGGAACTCTCAAGAGGTCAAAGAACACATCCAATCAGGGTTGATATCAAGCGTGGCCCAGAATGTGGGTTTCTGGACTCTCAGTGTAATTAATCTAAATCTATGTCCATGTATCTATATTTAAACCAACAGCACTGTAGTCAATTCTTGATTTTTCAGGGGCTGTGAATATTTTTGTTTCTTTTAGTATTTCACTCCTCAAACTCCACCAAGGGTGGAAGAATAAGTTCTTACTCAAATCAATTGGCCACGCTCTATGTTACCACTTTTGTTATAGGGGATCAGTCAGAAAGAACAAAGGTTCAGACTGTTACCTAAAGTGTGGACTAGAAATTATCTTTGGCTTTTAATTTTCCATGTAATCCTCATCCCTTCGTACCACGGAAAGTATAAAGAGGGCTCTGCCCTGCTGGAGGACTGGCCAGCACACCGACAGCAGACGAGTACCAGCAGCTGCTTAGAGATGCGCTCCCAGGAGGCAGCTCCATGCAGGTGGGCAGGTCGCACAGTCGGGAGCCAGGATACTGTGCAGTGGGACAGTGAGCAGGCGTCTTGCACACTGTTGCTTGTAATCGCCTTTGGGAACTACATTCAAAGGGAGCACAACTGAGTTAACATAGGCAAAATCTACTGAAAACAGAGGGTGAGAAAACTGTCTTTCGGGAGTTTAAAATCTTTTGTTGGGTTTGTAGGAAACCAAGGTGTTCGCCGAGCAATGAAAGGACTCAGATAAAAATCTGTCATATTAGAACAAGAAGATATGAGATATGAGGCCAGGCAGACAAACGGTACGCAGGCGTTTCTGAGACTCCTGGGAAGTGGGAAGCCTTCAGAGGCACGTGGATAGGACTCAAATCCTATACAAAAGTCCAGAGGCCAGCAACATGCCTCCCTGCGCAAGTGAAACTGTAACTGGAGCTTCTGCTCCAAACAGGGTGACATTCCTTCATGGCAGACAGAGAAAGCGGCCAGCCAGCCAGTCTGCTGCCCTAAACCTCAATCTGTTAGGAGAAATATCACATCAGTGGAATAAACTGCGAATGGGGTACCATTTCCTACATCTTTTCTATGACTGCAGGAACAACTGATAAAATGCAAATTGGCCTTGTTCCCACTGAAGTATATAGGACCTTGAAGTGGAAAGTTTTAAAAGACAAAACAGTACATAAAAACTCAAAAATGAAAAAACTCAACCACTTACTACTGACTAGCAATTTAAAAGAAATTAAAATGCTATCTTGCGTTTAGTTATAGATCCTTCATTTAGAACATGAAGAGGTCTAAATTCCTACTCACAGAAAATCACAGGATTAGGTTGTCCCTGCCCTCTCTGCAGCAGCAGGGCAGGCCTGGCAGGGAAAGGAGATCCCGTGGTGGCTAAGATGAGTTGTTTTCACTTTCTGACCCAGTTCCCTCTCGCCAGGTTCCATATTTCTCATATCTCTTTGGCAGTGAGTAACTTCCCTCAATTTCTCTGTTCTCTTCTGGACCACCTACAGGCATGGCCTACTGCCAGAGACACCCAGATATAAACACAGGTGGTAAACACAGCTGTATCACTGTGCTGGGTGGCAGTGGCGGCCATATGGTTGGAGTAACACTGTTGAAACACCATATCCCTGTATAGACCAGCTTTATTTACAGGTTTCTTAATAAAATATGCAAATAGCAAGTAAATAGAAAACCACAGAGCTCTGCTTTGCTGTAAAATTGATTGGAGACATTTGACTATTTTGAGGGCTTTGCACATACAGATCTCTGAAGATGAGAACTGTAGATGCGGAAGTCCACACAATGACATTTGCTAGGATTACACAATAGTAAGATTAAGGTTAAAAAAAAATGATGCAAGGAGCTTCCTTAACCAACAGGCCCAGGCTGGGAATTGCTAAAACAGAGTTGTAATTATTACAACCTGGGAGGATGTCAAACTGTCCTTGTGATCTTAAACCATAAAAGACTCCAGCGAGAAATGACAAAGTTGGATGGTAATCAGAGAAACATCTCAATCATTCATGTATTGTCAAGATTTACATATCAAATTTTGCTCATCTCTTTGTGCCTTTAAGTGATCAGTAAGCATATTTTGAAATAGACAACTGGAAATAGGCATCTCTCTCAACTCTGCCACTATCACAATGTAGTTATTATCTTTAGTTTTTCATTCAACACTTATTTATTGAGCATCTACTATGTGTGAAGCATGGGTGAACAACACAAAGTCCCTTCCATCAAGAAGCTTAAATCCTAGTAGAAGGAGACAAAATAAGTAAACAGATAATAATCTATTTACAAGTTGCGGTTAGTGCTCTTATTGGGTGGCTGGCCTTTTGTATCAACTACCGGCTCTGTGGTACCTACGACAATGAATAAGACAGGAATCTGCCAGCAAGGGGCTTAGAATCAATGAGTTAACAGAAGACCAACAATTGTCAGTCTTTGGTAAAAAAGATCACTAAGATGTGGCAAATTATAGCTGTTTTGAGGATTAGATTCTATACTAATGTGATCCATTACAGACTGATAGGGCATGCAGTACGAAACACTCTGGGTGTTCATTTCATGTAAAAAAAAATATATATATCTAAAGAACAGGGAACTGTGTCTGTCATATTGTTTCTTAAGACTGAAACCAAAGGAATTTCATGCTTCAAAGTTACTTTTTCTAAGTCAAAATAAATCTGATGCAGAACTGAAAACACAAAGCTATATAACAATATTTAATTGCCTCAATAGCTGCTACTGTAATTTGAGGTTTAATGATTTTATTTGCTGTCAGCTTCTGCATATACTGCACTAACATTTGCTAACTAACTTCAGAATACAGACCAGAAATTTAAGAAAAAAGAAAGAAAACATCACCACTAAGTTTTATATTAGCAAAAGATTCTCTTTCCTCTTTTGAGTATTTTTGTTTCAGGAATACAGTATTATTTGTCATTATTTGGATCCAGGAAAGATCTGTGAGTTCTCAAGAGCCATTCATACTGGCTTAATGGCAGGATGGCTTAACTTGAGAAATGGCGTGTCGCCGAGACCCAAAAGGGAGACAAGAAAAGGGTTTGGTTTCACTGTGAAGTGGGGTACCACTGCCAGGGATAGAGAAAACTTAATTTCCTTTCAACCTTTGCTGCCAGGTCTCTGACTCATGTTTCCTCTGTGTTTTACAATGGATGACCCTGGGACAGTTGACTTATTGCACGCTGGAGCAATTCTGACATGTCTTCTGATGTAAACGAGAGAAAAATGAAGTCATGCTAAGTCCCACAAGTCAAAGCTTTTTCTCAGCATGTATTTCTCTAATAGGTGTGCAATTCAGCATATAAAGATATTTGAGTGGTAGTAAGTATAGGTTGTTTTTGGTCTATAATAATGACCATCTTGGCCGGATTCCCCCAGAATCTGACCCTGAGATATGGTTTCAAGGGCTAGTATTTAATTTGGGAGGTGATACCAGGAAACACCAGGAGCAGAGTGGGTACACCAGGTAGGAAAGGGAAGGTGTGCTGTGAAGGCATTCCTGAGAGCATTGGAGCTCAGTCTCAGGGGAGCTCTGAAATACACTGGATAACATGCCTCCGAGCTACCCCGGGAGCAAGGCAGCCCAATAGTTATACAACTGTCTTTGGCTGAAGTCTGCTTCTGGGCCAACGAACTCTTCAGCACTTCCAGCTTGCCCTGCATTGAGGAAGAAAGCCCTGAGGCACAAAGGGGCAGGTGTTCCCAGAAAGAAGCCGTCAGAGAGCAGAGGGCACAGCAGAGGGATATGGGTAGGCTCTTATGGCCACTGCTTCTGTCCACCCCTCGCATGCTGTGTTGTGTTCACACTGCCCTGTCATGACTTCTCACACTGATGTCTGGTCACACCCACATCTGGAACACCGACAGGTTGAGCCGTGGGCTCCTGCTGCAGTTGGTCTTGAGGCCATTGTGATTCTCACCATCTTCTTTCTTTACTGCCCATTCTAGATTCCCCTCACCATCAACTAGCACTTCTGCTGGCCCAGGTTGCTTGCCTGATGAAGTGACCCAGACCTTCATGCCTGTAGGGTCTGAGCCCCTGGTTGCCATGCCCTTGTCAGGACAGGGTTGCTGCAGTGCCCACTTCCTGATATAACCAGGCATGCAAAAGATGCCCAATGAATGCCCTGAGTTCCAGAAATAATCCTCCCTGTCCCTATATCGTCCTGATCATAAAGGTCAATTTTTTTGTCACCTGTATGAGGATCCCAAATGAAGAGAGGGCTTTAGATTTAGCAGAACCCTCTGTTCCCTGGCAGAGCATCCTCTCCTGCCAGAGGAGCCAGGACTTTATTGGGGATGCAGCACCATGCGCTGGTATTAGGTTCAAAATATATATTGCATCCCATAGCACAGCATCCCAGTCCTGCAAAATGTTCTCCCCAAGCTGGAGCCTCAGCTGTGCCTCTAAGAGGCCATTCTAATGTTCTATCAGGGTGTCAGCTTCTGGGTGTATGATGTACGTAGAACCAGTGGATCTTGTGGTATTGTCCCCTTTGTCATACCTCTTTCACCCTTAAAGGGGTCCCTGGTCTCAGGTGATATTATGGGATATATCTCATGATGATAAATCAGACCCTCTGTGAGCAATTGGATAATGATGCTTGCCAGGGCTCTGCAGGCAGGGAAGACAAACTCAAACTCAAGATACATATCTGGGTCTGAGGAAATCACCTTGCTACCAAGTAGCTGCCTGGTCTCTTCGAGCGAAGGTATCATACCTCTGGCTGGAGCTCTGCAGCTGGCCTCTGCAGCTGGAAGGGGCAGACACACGGTCTAGGTCTGCCTTGTTAAGCGGGGTCCATGCAGCTCCGTCCCTGCCACCATGGCTACTCCATTCACAGTCCCATTGTACAAACACCAGGTTGGCCCCAGGACAGAAGTTGGTCAAACCATTCTAGGTACTTGGTGCCCCTCTGCTGTGGAAGCTTTCTAGTAGGCATTCACGTGAAACACACAGATTGGCCAAAGACGAAGTTTGTGTAAGGTGCAAGTGTGAGTTCCTGGGGTGAGAGGTGGCAAGACCCCCAGTGTGGGTGTGCCTCTGCTCACTGCTAACCTCCTCTCCATTCAGCTGCAGCAGGTTACTCCAACAGTCTCCTACCTTTAGGAATTTCTAGACCGGAAGCAGCATACTCTTGATCACATATAGTTCCAGTGTCAGGCCAACTCTCCCAAGAACATGGCCCCCATGCTCACCTCCACTTTGACGGCAGCAATTACAGGCTCCTGTGTCTCTCGCGTCAGCAAGCGCTAGCCTAGCTTAGAGTCACTTGGGAGAATCCCTTCTAAGCTTCGAAGAGGTGTCTGATCCCAACTGTTGGGGCTATCTTTAAAATGTGGATGACTTTAGGGTGACCAAATATTGTCCAAACAAGGACACTCTGGACAGCGAAAGGGGCACTCAATAATTAAGCCAGGATAACAGACAAAAACCAGGGTTATCTCTCGAAGATTGGGACATGATCACCCTAGTTATCTGTCCCCTTTTCCAGTCTAAGCGGCCAATTCCAGGACAACCAGAAAAACCCCTCTAAATACCCTGTCACACAAGCTTAAACTCCATGGTTCTCCATAAAGTCGTTTCTTTGCATAGACTCTCAACTCCTTTGCTCCCTCTGCCTTATAAAACTCCAACCTAGGTCACAACTAATTTTCTGCTCTCTTCCCACAGTAGAGCAGCCCAAACATACACGAGCATGCGGACTGGTTCCATTTTACACTCAGGACTATACATCCCAGGAGGTCGGGCGTTCAGCTCTGCCTGGAAATCTCACCACATTTTCTCAGTAATTTGCTTCACAATGTCCAAGACAAAGATTTCCCCCTTTCTCTTTTCTCCTCAACCTTCTCTCGCCCTGCCTCCTCCGTTCTCACGGATAACGTCGCTGCTCCTTTCTCAGAAGAGCATCTTCTCACCGCTCTCCCCCGCCCCCAGCGCTGTCCCTGGCGCAGCCCCCGTCACTCCGGCCAGCCCGCCGCCGTCGCCCCGCGGCGCCTCCTCGCGCTCCGCAGGCCGCGCTTTACCCTCGGCCCCGCGGGGTCCCGCAGGAGCGACCGCCCTTCGCGCCCCTCCGCGTCCCCGGCGCCCCGCTCCGCGCCCAGCCGAGGGGGGCGCTGGCTCGGTGCGTTGAACTGAAACAGTCAACACGGTTTGCAGCTGTCCGCTGCCATCCTCCTCCGCAGCTTCCCCGGTGCGGCGGCTCCGTGCGTCACGTCGCCTCCCGGGGCTTCGGCGGGAGCCCGGTCCCGGCCCCCAGCAGCGTCACCTCACCGAGCTCACCGAGCGTCACGCTCCGGCCTCCGCGAGGGACCCGAGGGCACGGGCACGGACGGGCCCCGGCGCGCCCCCAGGCGGCAGCCCCGCGCAGCCCCGCTCCTCGGCGGACGCCCGGCCATCGACGGCGCGGCGCTCGACTGCGCTGCGGAGCGACTCCCTCGGCGCTCCCGGGGCGGAAGTGCGGCGCGGCCGGGCGGAAGTGCGCGCGCGGCTGCGGCGGCTGCAGGTACGTGTCGGAGCCGCCTCCGGGCTGGGGCCGCCTGCCCGCGGGGCAGCCCGCGCTCGGGGCCCCGCTGGGGCGGCCGCCGCGAGGGCCTGGGCGGCGAGGGGAGCGCGGGAGGCCGTTTGGCGTCGGCGGGCGCGCTGCCGGAGTGTCCTGCTTGCCAGGGCGCGGGCCTCGAGCGGCCGGCCCGGAGTCGCCTGCTCCCCGGTGCCGAGGCGGTGCGGCGGGCTCCCGGCCCTGCCCGGCGGCGGCTGGTGCTGGACCTGCCGCCCCGACGCTTTGCGAGTGGACGCTGTCCTGATGCCAAGAAACGGGTCCTGAGAGAGCTGGTCTTTAGGTGGAAATAACCTGTTCCTAATCGCTGAAGGTCGATCACATAAGAAGGAGAAAATCTGTTTTTTGTTTTTTATTTTTTTTTTGTAACGAATCTGAGTAAACTTATAGGGAAAACTTTGGAAAATATTTTAAAATTCAGCCACACCTTAGTTAAATCATTTGGGTACACTGTATTGAAAGCTTGTTCTAACTGAGGTTATGTGAGTCCGTCTCCTAATGATGCGAATATTTTATTTATAAATGGTAGTACGGATATTCTGGCCAGGCTTTGTGTAATTGACTCCAGTGACAAAGGAACTGAAAGCTAAAAGCTTCTCAGGGATCATCTGTGTGTTGAAAGTTGTTGACTCAAAGGGTGGTAATAGAAAGAGGATAATGTGTGCTTAGTACTAAATGTTCTCTTCTCTTGGATTAAGTAGAAATTTAATAATTTTAAGCTGAGAAGCAGAGGATCCCCCAGTGTAACTTGGAACAACTCTTGGAAGTTTCAGAAAATATTTATTTTTTCTTGTCAAGCGTTTAATTTCCTCTACTGAATATCATTTTGGACTATTACTTTTCTAAAAACGGTTATTAATCTGCTAAGTTAATTTTTCATTCATTCCACAAATATTTGAGAGCCTGTTATGTATGAGTCTTATGAGAAATGAAATTGATACTCAAAAAATTTTACAAACACAGTTTTCGAATAAAGGACTTTGACAATTTTTGGTGTGAGGCAGGGGCAGGATCACCCAGGCCATATGGGAAATGCTGGGTTTCCAGTTTGTCTCTCAGTTCCTTTTCCACTCCTCTAGTTTACTCATCTTCACTAGCCAGTATCCTAGTACGTATGCACCCACCACATATTGGGAGCTTATTGAATGTTTATTAAATGGATGAGTTTTAGGTCAGTAATGAGTAGAGAGAATTTTGAAATTGACTGGCGTGAGAGAGAACATTGGTCACTCTGCTAAGCAGTAGTCTAGAATGTCGGTTGTTCCCAGACCCTGGGGGATCTGTTCATGGCTCTCCTGGAGTGCCTGGTAAAATCACATGGTAGTAGAATTCCATTATAATTACATGATGCAGTGTGTTTATGTTAATTTAAAAGTATTGTTGGCACAAACACACAAACTTAAGGTAATTGTAGAGAAATTATGAATCTTGATGCTGTGGACACACCCATCGGCATCCTTGGACCTCAGTTTGAAATTATAGATTCAAAAGGTGTTTTGGCGTAGGAGTCAAAGCAGCCGTTTACTGGTCGTGTGCTACCACCCACCTGCTTCATAGCATGAGCTGAGATACTTCGCCTCTTTGGGCTTCAGTTTCCTTTTTCCTGTAGTCAGAGAATACATAAAGCTAGATTATCTCTAAGAGTTCTTCCTGCTTTGAAATTTTCCAACTCAGTGAATCCTATAACCACTTAGCACAAGGGTAACCCTGTGTTGTCTTAGAGGCTATAGATATACTGGTGTTTACATATCTGTCAAAAGCTTAAGCCCTTGCCTGACAGGGATTAGTCTCAGTCATTTTTGTGTCTCCCAATTTTAACATGTGCCTGACACACACGTCAGAGATAGAGTGCTATTAGCCTGGATTCAGAATGGGCACATTTGCCCTCTCGATTAAAGAATTGCTGAGAACTAAACTGTAGTATTGAGTGTAAGTATAGCCGGAATTCAGAGAAGGGAAGGATCTGTTGGGGTTCAAGTCCTTGGGAAGGCTTCATGGAGGTCAGACCTTGATGGAGAGGATGTGGTCCTTCGCAGGGAAGGCGTGAACATCTGGTGGCACATCAGGAACAAAAGGCCACAGGCTGGTAAGTGAGTGCATTTGCGTTATGACCTTGATGGTCAGGCAGAGGAGTTTGGACTGATATATGAGGCTTTTTTTTCTGGAAAATGATGTTAGGCTTCCTCAAAAGCTTCATGAATATTCTTTAACTTAGTATTGTTGGTAGCGTTTAAGACTGGGGTGCATCATCCAATTGGCTTTATTTTTGGTTTTGGTTTTAGTAATTCCTTGTACTTAGTGTTTCCCACTTACAATAAATCTTGGTGCCAGTAATGGAAAAAAGAGTGGATACTGAAACCTGGGAAACCTAGATATGAGTTACTTAGAATGTAAGGTGCATGAGGTGGATCCAGGCAGGCCCCTAGGGTGGTGCTGGGCACAGAGTTAGTGTTGGGTGATCCTGGTGCAGCGCCAAGGGACCTCTCCCTTTGGTACTTGCCAGCTGTGCTGCTTTTGGCAAGGTTGGCACCTAGTTTCATCTGTAAGCTTTGATGAATTTTTCAAGTCCTTTTCCACTTAAAATTTCTGTGATTTTGGAGGGTATGTGATTTTATCTTTCATTGTTTCGTAATTTTACTGAAAGACAAAAAGCCGTGAATATTTGGTTTCAGTTTAATTTTCGTGAATGCCCTGTGTAATTGACATGATGTGTAGGTGGGTAAGTCAGGGTCTCAGCAGGAATCAGAATTCATGCCAGATGGTTCAGATAAGGAGATTTTAGTGAAGGGACTACTTGTGGAGGTGTGGGCGGGGCTAGGGAACAAAGGTGTAGTGAGGCCCAAAGAGAAACTAATAGCTGGAAGGGACAAAAGGAGAAAGCAGAGCTCGCTGCAAGTGGGAGCCACAGAGAAGGCTGTGGCTGTTAGACCTGAGATGTGGTGCTCAGGGATCAGGGAGCAGGACTGAAGTGCCCCAGCCTGAGGCTGGTCCACTTCTGAAATCCAAAGCTCAGACCCCCGCTCTTTGCTTGCAGTCTCTTGTCTTTCTAACCCTCGCTTAGTTTCTCCCATTCTACCTGCCTTTACCTGATCTTCGGTCGCTGTCATTCCATTCTGCTCAGTTGTATCATCATCCTTCTGTATCACCTGGCTGGCAATTTCTCAGCCCTGGACCATCTCAACTCTTACCTCCTTGAATGCTTGAACTGAGTTGCTGAGAGCAGCAGGGGAAAATCCTAGCATCTAGATTTGTACCCTATAAATCCATGGTCACCAGTCTCAACTGGCCATCAAAGAATTTTCTAGTGTTTTCCTCCTCAGCACTTGCTTCTGTTCTGTGCAGAATCTATTTGAAGCATTTTCTGCCCTTCTCTTCTCAAACCTCTCATTCCTTCACAAAATCTATACTGTTAGCAGATAATCTTGCCACGTATTTCAGAACTAATAGAGCTATCAGAGGAGAATCTCATACTCTTTCTTCCAAAAAACCTTCCTCCTTCCCCAGTTACATTGAAAGAGATTGCATTTACTCTAAGACCTATCTATCCCTGTTCCTGGGCTTTATGTCCCTTCTACTCCTGCCTGCGAGAGCACTTCACTCAGTTGTTCATCTCTTGCCAAAGGCTGCTTCCTGTCACCCTTTAAACATTCTTAGACACAGGTAACGATAAAGCAAAGCAGAAAAACAGCAATTAAAAAAGTAGCATCCTCCTTTGATTTTACATTTCCCTGTTAAAATTTCTCTCTTTTCTTCCCTTCCCAGCCAAATTTCTTAAATAGTTCTTTGTACTCAACTTTTCGCTCATCCCACTGCTGTCTGGTTTTGGTGCCCATCACTCCATTGAAGGCCAAGGTCATCCATAACCTCCTTGTCACAAAATCTTGTTCTTATTATTTCCCCAATGTAGTGCCTGGAACGTAGAAAATGTCCCAAATAAATGTTTGTTTTGATTGAACAATCTGAGGGGATTTCCTTGTTCCAAATTCTGGTTTATCTGTATCTGTTTTCCTGAGGGATAGAAATCCAACACTGTCATCTTTTGAGGTGCTGGATGATCAATTTCTATATATATCCCAAATCTTCTCAATGGACTAAAAGATCGAAATCAATTTTATTTGATAACGACTTCTTCAGTATTGTTCACATGATCTATCTTTCTGGGGGAAAAAAAGCATCTGGATATCTTTTTCTGAAAAATTACATTTCTGAAAATGGCAGGAATTAATGTTTTGTCCACCCAATGTAGATCTAATAAAGAGGCAGTCGTAGGGATGTGGGTGCAAGTAGCAATAGATTGATACGTGAATAATGCTATGCTTTTGCATGGAACTACTCTTCCTTCTTTCCCTTAAGAGTATCTTCTTAAGGAGGTTTTTGTTTTTATATTTGCTTTTCTTGGTGGAGTGGTGGGGGTGGGGCGTGGATTTGCACTGGCCTGTTTCATTTCTGATATGTCATCAGTGTGCGATGGCATGAGGTAGAGGACCAGCCACTTTTAGACCTACTGCTTTTGGCTTTGAAATGTTGTGAAAGCAGTTGTCCTTTAGGAAGAGACAGCCTGCTGAGGCAGGAAGATTTTATAGTTTCTGGGAAATAAGGGAGACTTTTAATGAACTCTTCTAACTAAGATGGAATCCAGTGCTTATTTTAAGAGACTAGCTAGGGAATCAACTATTTATGTAACAGATCAGTTATGTGGGAGCTCTGGAGAGCCAAAGTGTCAGGCTTTTCCACTATATTCTATTTTACTTCCAGTATTCTTTCCAGTCACCTCATGTAGATGCTCTTCTCTTTAGTCTCGTTCCTCCAAACATTGTAGCCAGAGTGAAGGTTTTTCCCCCACCAAAAAAAAAAAAAAGTGCTATTTGTCAGTTGTATTTTTTAAATCGTTGGATTTTTTTCCAAATGAATTAAAGCATAAATACTTACATTTTCATTTAAAAGCATTGTGTGTCTCAATGATCTTTTGTTTCTAGGAGTCACAGAGGAAAGAACCTAAGAGCGAGCTGGAGAGCAGGGCAGCTCTCCTCCGTTTCCATCTGCTCAGGCCTTCACTTCTGCAGATGCTCCTGCTGAGGACCAGTGAATCTTCTCAGGATGCTTTCTACCCCAGGGATTCTTTCAGATTTGTGCATGATTATATTTTTGTTAACCATGATTTTGAGGTGGAGCAAGAGACAGATGATTAATTTAGAAAACTGGACCGAAGTGCTCCTGACCCTAAGACTTGTCCCACTCTGTGCTGTTAGATGGTAAATGTGTGGCAGTGCTGAGGTGACTTGACCTTGACTCTGCTCAGGAGAAGTAGAGTCTGAGATTACAGAAAACTGAAGGAAGTAAATTACCCTGCTGTAAGACTCTTTTCTCAGTATCTCTGGGAGATCTCTTTGGGGCCAGCCCAGCCCAGCCCTGAAGGTCAGGTCTATCCTAGCATAGGTTGAACATGACTCAAGGAGGGTACAGTGAGTTCCAGAGTTTGGTTCTGTTGCTGTGTGGCCTGAGAGTCTAGTTGAGTGTAATTTTATTGTTGAAAGTCACTAGGCAGCTCTGCAGCTAGATTTTTCTGGGGTCCTTTGGGTCCAAGATGGCTCTGGACAGGATAAGCCTACTTGGTGCTTCTCAAGCGTTAATGTGCAACAGATGGCTAAAAGGCAGATTCTCACTCAGTGAGTTAGGCTGGGGTCTTGAGATTCCTCCTTTGTGATTTGCTCCTTGGTGTTGCTGTTTTGAGTAGCATGGAGGGGGTGGAGTTTGAGAGTTTATTATTACTATTTTCATTTTTTGGTATTTTGGGGGGAATACTTTTACTTTGCTATGGCCTGATTTAAGAAAATAGTACTTTTAACATCAGGAGGCTTTCCTTGGCCTGTTTGGTGAAGGTTCTCCAAGTCTTCCGTGAATCAGAACTTCTATTTTTCCAGCTCCTGGCCTCATCTGGGGACCTGATGGGGTAAGACACCTGATCACTTGTTCATATTTTTTGTCTGCTATTCAAATCAGCAAAATTCTTTGCCAAATAGTAAAAAAAATTTTCGTTTAATCGTTAAAGCTACTTTTGTGGTTACATTTTCTGCACAACCCCCCCCCCCCCCCGTCCCCCCAAATATTACTGCTACTGATGTGGGCTTGGCGAGCTAAGGAGTCAAAAGAAACATTTCTTGCACTCTCAAGATCTGGTAGTAGTGCTCCTTTTATTCAGAGAGTAGCATGGGGACAGGACCCATGGGCAGTGAAGAGCTGCAGGGGTTGAAGGGTAGGGCTAAATTTTATAAGGCATAGGTATGTGAGTTATTTCTTTACAAGACAAAGGAAAGATCTTGTAAAAAAGTTGTTAAAATGGTATCAGTGCAAGTGGGGTCTGGTTATTGGCTGGTCCTAAAACTTTGGATACAGATCAGGTCAGGATGTCCTATACTTTCTGGAGGACGATATAGATTGGTATGTGGGCCAGGACGCCTTGGGTTTCTCTCCCTGGGGCAGCCTTGATCCACATCATTACTAGTTATTTTTTTCTATATGTTTTTAGTCTGAAGTTATGTAAAAAAGTAATTTACTCTCTTTTATTGTACCAATAAATATTTTGGAAAATTATAGATTGTGCTACAATGAAATAAGGGAAAATTATAAAATTAAAATTTTCTGGGGCTGGCGTGGTGGTGTAGTGGTTAAGTTTGTGTGCTCCAGCTTCAGCGGCATGGGGTTCATGGGTTCGGATCCCAGGTGTGGACCTGGCACCATTGGTGGCGCCGTGCTGTGGTAGCATTCCACATCAAAAAAAAAAAAAAAATAGAGGGGCTGGCCCAGTGGTGCAGTGGTTAAATTCACACACTCTGCTTCGGTGGCCCAGGGTTCACTGGTTCGGATCCTGGGTGCAGACCTATGTACCGCTTATCAAGCGATGCTGTGGCAGGCGTTCCACATATAAAGTAGAGGAAGATGGGCACGGATGTTGGCTCAGGGCCAGTCTTCCTCAGCCAAAAAAGAGGAGGTTTGGCAGCGGATGTTAGCTCAGGGCTAAGCTTCTCAAAAAAAAAAAAAGAGGATTTTCACAGATGTTAGCTCAGGGCCAATCTTCCTCACACACAC